CATTTGTACCATCTGTTGTCATCTGAACCCTTGGAATTAGCGATAAGGCGTCAGCGTTTGTGTTAGCAATTCCTTTCTTATAAATAATTTCATAATCATATTTTGTAATTGCTGAATATCTTCCTTTAAAATTAGTAAAACAGATTTTATCTCTCTTGTTTGCACTAGATTGCGGATAAAGTATTTTAGGTCCTAATTTTAAAATACCTTTTTGTAAATCCATTTTAAATTTTTGATCGTAAAGTAAATTCATTCTAATTAAACCGTTTTCTCTAAATGCATTTTCATCTTTTGTAACTTGAAAAACTGATTCTTTACCGTAAAGTTTTAAACAAATAGAATATTCGAACATTATAGGATTGTTTTCGATTGTTAAAACATTATGAGGCGCGTATTTTTTAAAGTTTTTCCCTTCTATCATACTTTCTTTTATAATTGATATATTCGATCCTGTATCAACTACAAATTTTCCTGATGCTAACTTATCAAATTTTAAAGCCACAATAGGTGTGTCGTGTCTTCTTCGTTCTCTTGGTATCGGTGGAAAGTCGTGCTTAGCGGGTTCTCCGATAAAGAAAATTCTTCGCTTAGCTGCACTCGGTCTGGTGGTTTGGTGTTGATTGGTCGTGACTGAAAATTTTGAGTTTTTTCTTGACGTGGTGGTAAACCTTTTAATTTTCCTCTACAAACATCCTCTGTATGTCCTAAATTTTTACAATGGTTGCATTTTTCTAAATTTCTCGGTTTGCTAAATCTTGGTGTTGGTACTGGGTTTTCATTTCTTGGGTTTCTGGTAAAATTGTCAATTCTTCTTTTATCTTTCAAATTCACGTTAATTTCTGAGGCAATATTAAAACATTCATTCAGCGTTTTCGGTTTCTGAGGACGGATTCTAATTTCAAATTCTTCACGTATATTTCTTAAGAATGTGCTGACACTTGCATTTGTTTCTATTTCCTGTCTTACGAAAGTTTCTTGAGGTGTTATATTCATACTATCTATAGACTGCCTGATTTTATCCTGACACTGCATAAATCTTGAGGTGAATGACTCTAAACCTTCATTTTTGCCCATTATACATGAATCGCGAGCCCTTTGAAGTGATTCTAAACTATCTTTTTCTCCAAATAAAATTCTTAATCTCTCAAAAAAATCAGCAAAGGTTTTAACTGCATCTGCTCTAATTGCATTTGCTGCTCTTCCTACTAATTTTTGTGCAATTATTGCATGCAGTAATGTTAATCTTTCATTTCTTTTCGTTTTTCTTTTAGATAATCTTATTAGATGAATGAAATTTTCTAAACCGCTTCCGTTAAATTCTGGTACTAATTTTATACTTTTCCCAAAATCATATTCTGTAACTTCTAATTCTTCGTGATCGCTATTTAATTCGTTTTCATTTAAGGGTAAACCTTCCTCTCTTCTAACTGGTTGTTCCATCGCTACTAATCTCGTTTCGAATCTCTCCATTTTTGCAAGAATATTTTGCAAATGGTCATTTGAAGCACTTGATGTTTCTGGCATGATGTTTAGAATATTGTCTAATTTTAGTCTGTCAGTCAGTGATATTGAAAGGGATGAACTGTCTGTGTCTATTGTTTCGTTTACCCTACTTTCTCTATATGAATTTAAATCCAGTTTAATTTTATAAATTTCCTATATCGTTTCGTACAATTTTTATTTTATATCCGTTCGCGTTTTCTAATTTAAAATTTCATTTCTTGCAATCCTGCTACAAGGAGTACACAAGAATATGAAATTCGTTTTTTTTAGTTTATTGTCGATGGCAATACTCATAAAATCACGGAGTATACCAACGCTTTAAAACAAACTTAGCCACACCCTATGAAGGTCGCCGTTCAACGTACGTAAAGTGGACTTATACTCTTGTTCTAAAGATTCGTAATTTTTTTATATACCTTACTGTTGGTCTGGATCGTAGTTCTGGATAATCTCGAACTCTGCTTCGTAGATTTGGATAACTCTCTGGATACCTCTGTAGATCTGGATAACTCTGGATACCTCTCTGTAGATCTGGATAACTCTCTGGATTCCTCTCTGTAGATCTGGATAACTCTCTGGATATCACTCTGTAGATCTGGATAACTCTCTGGATACCTCTCTATAGATCTGGATAACTCTCTGGATACCTCTCTGTAGATCTGGATAACTCTGGATATCACTCTGTAGATCTCTGCTTTTTCTTTACTTTCTCGTTCACTTTAGATAATCACTTTGTTTATCTGGAACTAACTCTGGGTTCTGGATTCTCAAAATCTGGATGAACTTCCAAAATTTTTTGAATATCCTAGCGCTGCCACCAATTATGTTGTCGCCGTAAGAAACAACTAATATTATTATTTTTGGTGAGTTGGTTACTCAACTGAGAGCCAACTCTACTTTATTTATTTAACAAGTAAAAGTACAAAAACTTGGAGATAATCAATCCTTCCAATTCTTCACTGAGCCTTATTGGAAGACAAACGTGCTATCACTTTGAGTAGCGACTAATTAATCTGACCACACCTGCTTATGCTTTAGTTTTAAAGGACTGTGAACTCGTCCCCACTCTTTACAATACACACTCATACTTCATACTGTCGACACTTTTTTTATTTTATTTTATTTTTTTTTTTATTTTTTTTTATATCTTGATACATCAGAAAACAAAAAAACAAGAAATTGTTAAAAAAAGAAATGTGGATCCGCACTGCAATGCAAATTAATAAAGTTTCCTAATGTAATATTTCGTGGGAGCAATATAGTGCCAAATATAAGGGTCTAGTTAAAACCTATAAAAATCACAAACGGTCTCAGGAACGCACTGGTGAAGGACGCCGGTTTTGGGAGCACTACGAAATTATGGACACTTTTTTAAATACAAAACCCATGATTTCGCCTGTTTCTTTATCTTCTAACTTGAAAGGGTATAGAAAAAGAGAAAATGAAGTTATTAACAAATCCACAGAAAAAAATAAAATTTCTGATGATTCAGATTCTGATATTGAGATTTCGACACCAAAACAAGCCAAGAAAATGAAAAGTCTAACAGCCGGTAAAGAAATGTGCAACATTTTAAAAGAGAATCACAAACGTGACACGCTTTTCAAAGAAAGATTTGTGACATCTTTCGAAGAATATGTCAATGCTGTGAAAAATATGTCTAAAAAAATAGAGAAAAGAAATTGTTAACTGTAGTTGCTACAAATTTTATATCAAAATTTTTCATAACGTTTTTAAAATTTCAAATTTTTCTAATCATTTATATATATTTTGACTTCAAGACCTTTGTAATTTAATTATAAGGGGTTAAAAGATATTATTTTATTTAAAAATAATATTAATTTTAAAAATTATTTTCATTTAAGAAATGAAGTCTAAATATTATTATTATTAATATTCTTGTTCTATTACTCAATTTTCTATTTATACTTTCAAGGTTATTTGCATAAATTCGAAGTTCTTTTTTAACTTAAAAATTATGTTCAAATTATAATTAAAAAATAAAAAAAATCATCTCATCTGGATCAAGGTCCTTCATCTTTGTTCCGTAAAATGTTTACACTATTGTGAAATTGAGATGTGGACTGTTTAGAAATATGATAAGTGCATTATAATTCATCTATATGTATATGTTTAAAAAACATACTATTTTGAGTTAAGATGTTTACGATTGTTAACTAGTTCTCTATTCTGAAAGTTGTATTATCAGTCAGTATTATAAAATTAAGATGTTCATTGTTGAAAAGTATTAAGTGTATCTATTATTTTCGTTTAACAAAATTCCCGGTTTTTTCTCAACATTAAATTTATTTGATTTCTAACATAAATAAATCTACAAAAGGCCACACAAATTTTTATTAGAGTTTTTATGAATAATTAAAATTCTTTGTACGAGTTTCTTTAAATTTTTTGGGAATATTGTTTTTTTAATAATTTTAATTAAAAATTTGGAAAATAATGGAATTAAACAAAGAATCTTTTCAATTTTTAAAAATAATCTTATCTAGGTATTTATAATTATAATTAAAAAATCGATTGTTCAATTTTATTAATATTAAATTAATAATAATTCAATTTCTGAAAAGAATTTTACTATTTATAAACGTAATTGAATCCTTCCAAAGAATGCTGTGGTTTATGAAAATAATTTAATTCGTGTAAAGAATGTTATTAAAATTTTTGACAAATAGTAAGCATTAATAATTTATAATTTACTTAATAAATAATAGAAATTTAATTTGCTCAAGAAATAAATAAATGCCATTTATTTGAACATTGAGAAATTTAAAATTATAAAAATTTAAGAGAAGTTTAATAATGAATTATCATTATTAAATTTCATTAATTAATTTAATTTCATTAATTTCTGAATAATGATAATAATATAATAATATAATTTTTAGAAACAAAAAATTAATTTAAGATTTGAATAGAAACTTTATATTTTTAAAATAACATTATAATTACTGTCAATAATTTACCTTGTTTATTTTCGAAAAATTTAAATAAATTTCTACAAAAGAATTGAATTATTTGTTTATAAAACTTCAATTATCTTGAAAGAATAGAATTGAAAAATTTCAAAAATCATTCTTGTTTGAATTTTCAAAAAAAATCATTAAACTAATATACTTTGAAAATTTCATTTGTTAAAAAGTTTTTAATTAAATTCTTTAACAAATTTAATTATTTTCAGTTGAATTTCACAAAATTTCTATTACACTCCAGCTCCGGTTCAGCGGATTGTCTGTGAGAGTCGTCCGTTAGAGCAAATAATACCTAACAACACCTTTAACGAGGTAGGACAAAGAAAATATTCAATCCCAAACCAAAAAAATTCGCTAAATCGGTCAATTTCTTTATAAAATGTTAACTTGTTTTCGTAATTCAATCTTAAACTTAAGACTAAAAATGTACAATGATTTCTTGCGTTAGAAATATATTTTTAAAAAGATTGAATACATTTTTGTAAAGAAACTAAAATTTTTTCATAACTCTTATAATCGCATCAACAATTCGGCAATGTTATTTCTTTTGTCTACAACAGAAACAGCAACATTTTGTTTATTTTCCCCATTAAGTTTAACTGCATCATCATCTACAAGATCATCTACTTCTTCCAAAATTTCAGCATTCATTTCATCATCAAAATCTAAACAGATGTTGTGAAGAACACAACATGCTACTATTATAAGAGGACCATATATTACATTTTGTAAGTACAAGTACTTCAATCTTCGAAAACGACCTTTTAACAAAGCAAATGAACGTTCTATGACAACTCGCGTGCGAGAGTGAGCAATATTATAGTTTTTTTCTGTACGTGTCAAGTGCCCATTATCGCGAAAAGGTGTCATTAGGGTTTCACTTAAACCATAAGCAGAATCTCCAACAATGTGAGTCTGCTGTGGACAAAATCGATCTTGATCTTCTTCAATAGCCATTTTTATATCGCTCATCTCCCACACACGAGCGTCATGAACACTACCACATACACCGGCAAAAACATCAATAAATCTCCTTTTTGAATCACAAATTGCTTGTAATAAAAGAGAGTGGAAGTTCTTCCTATTGACATAATAGACAGCATCATTAGCAGGTGCACTTATCGGTATGTGACAACCATCAACAGCTGCAATGGCATTAGGAAATCCAGCAATTTCTCTAAATGAAGCTTCCGATTGCATGATATCCTATTCACGAGGCCACTTTATATAATCCTGAACTTTATTATTCAAAATTTTAGCAACTTTTAACATGCATCTCCAGGCTGTATCTTTAGATACACCGAAACGATCGGCAATTGATCTGAAATAAAGAAAAATGCACAATTAATTAAAAACGTAATAAACTATCTTCAAACTCAGAATAGACACATAAAAAAGCATAGTTAGGAATAAATTTTTATTGTAGATAGATAGATAATTAGATAGATAGTTAAAAGAATTTTTATTTTGGTATCTAAATACTACATAATTCAAAGAAACATAAGGTCAACAATATTATATTACTGTTTGATAATAAAAGTGAGCGAATTTATACAAGTATTGATAGTACCGAAAATTGTGATAATGTAAGTATAAATGATGCTATTTTACCAGAGTATTTGAATACTTTAAATCCATCAAATTTCCCGCCTTATGAATTACGATTAAGAGCCAATTGTATTGTCATGCTACTTCGAAATCTTAGTATTAATGAAGGTTTATGTAATGGAACGCGAATGCAGGTATTAGAACTATCAAACAATCTGCTACGTTGTCGTATTTTAACAGGTGATAATCTTGGGAATCATTAATTATATATTTAGGAAATCAAAGACCTAATTTACTAATCAAGAATTATGTTTACACTGAATTATTGAAATAAAAGTAAATATTTTTTCTATAAAAATGTCTGAGTCGTTATATATTTTTTTTCTTAAAAAAGGAGTGTGTCTCAGTATGGCTGTCTTTACGCGTAAGACTTTCTTCGACGCTTGTTATTGGTAAATTACGTCATTTTTTTGTAATAAGATTCACACGTAAGATTTCTTTACACGTTTCTTTCTTATCAATTGGTCAAAGACGTTTTAATTTCCTAATTTCAAATAATAGTTCAAACTTCAGATAATTAAGACACTTATTTGTACGTATTTTAATGTACTGCCAACCAGTTCATCCAAATGAACTTTGAAAAAAGTTTAAAGATAATATTTCTCAAGATTATTAACGAAATTTTGCATCCCATGAATCTTATAGAAAAGCATATATTGAAATAAATTATTTTCTTCGAAATGACGGAGTACTTACATTTTTTGTATAATATTTACAGAAACCACACTTATATTTCTTTTTTATAGCAAAAGTAGGAACGATTTTAAGAAACAAAAGTAAATTTTTAATTTAATATCCTCTGTTTATGGCTTTCTTTGACAGTAGAGATGTTTTTTTGCTAGCTAAGTGAAAAATAGTTAAAAATTGTTTATTTAGTAACGTTTTTCTTTCATCACTATTTTTTAAAATATAAATTTACTATGGAAGATTTTAAATGTTACAAAATTTAATTAACAAATAGATTACTTTGATTATAAAAAGGTTTTCTATAACTTCATCATACAAAACTTTTTATAAAATGTGCCATTCTTGAAATATACGCTTTTCTTTAAGCAAAGAAAAGTGTTGTTTTTTTTATCAAAACCATAAACTTTAGAAATGATACATTTAGAAACAGATAAAGACAGAACTAAAAGTGTAAAGGTATAAAAAATTGTTTTACGCACAACATAGGCTATTATTTTATTAAATTGAATAATATTTAAAAATTCCTATTATCAGAAACTGTCACTCAAATTGATACCTTAACAAACAAAAGACTGTAATTTAAAGAATAAAAATGCAAGAGAAAAATCGCGCGCGCGGCAGCGCGCGATCGTTCTCGTATTATATTAAAGACTGCTTGTGCAAACCATACATATGATTATCTTAAATGCTGCTAAAATAGCAATTTCTACTTACTGGAAGATAATGTTCTCCCATACTTACTATAAAAAATATCCTATTCCACAGAAATATAAATTTACAAGTTTGTTAAAATCCGGAAAAAATACCAAAAATCATTCTCAAATCCTTGAATACCTTTCCATCCTCCTAAAAATTGTTGAAGTGACAATCTTACTTACTAGTAGTTCTAGCATCAAAAAAATGTCCTATTCCAATAAAGATTAAATTTTACAAGTTTGTTAATATCAGCGAAAAGAAAATTTCTAAATTTTCATTCTTATAGCGTCGGAAACTTTACTCTTTGCTAGAAACAATCAAAATGACATTTCCTAGTTACTAGTAGCTCAATCAATTGTTTTGTGTCATCACAAAATTTGTTTCTATTCAAAGAAAAGAAAATTTTACTAATTCGTTGAAATCTGCGAGATCAATGATTGCAAAATTTATTTTCATATTTACTACTAGTAAATACTTTATTATCAGTAATGATAATAAGCGTTTCTTCCTACTAACTCATTTATCTTTTTTCGATAAATTTATATAATTATTACTTACCTGACAAAGAGTACATAGGAATTATTGCCTTAAAATAATTAGTAATTTTGTGATGATTCTCCCTTTCAGATTGAGCAATAAATGCTTCATAAGCTTCTAAATCCTCATTTGGAAACAAAAGATCAGCTGCAGTCATCATGACTGCAGCATCTAATAAAATAGGATTTATATTTAAATTATTTAAATCTTCTGCCATTTTTAAATTTTGTCTTCGCGCTATTATATAACACTCCAAACTCTCACTCCGAATAAATTCACCGAGCACGAAATTAGAGTACAGAAAAGTTTTCAACGCACTCTTTTCTATTAATTTTACAAAAAAACCAAAATTGAACGTAACCCATTTGTAGAATTTTACTATAATCTAAAGTTTAGATAACATGCATAGTGTGCTCGGCCAATGAAAAGCAAGTGTTAATAAAGTAACTTTTCAAAATGGTTGAGAACCCCTTCGCGCTCTGAGTGCACTCCAAGAGCGAATGTCGGAAACACCCATTTTTTATTATAAATGTCCATCTACAATCAACTATATTTTTATTAGATGGACGTGGCACGATTTTCCAAGTTTGATTTTGAGAGAGAGAGAGAGTTAAGCTTTTCTTTTACAGCTATCTCCCATTTGGATTTGTCGCATCGATTTTTTATTTCATTATACGATTTCGGGGTATCACAAACCATCGACTGGGCGCACCTGTAAAGACATTCAGTAACATTATCCTCTTCGTTATAAGAAATAGAAGGCATGTTTTGAAGTCGAGCACTGCGGCGCGGTTTGTTTAGATCTGAATTTAATTGAGAGTTTATGTCCACTTGAGACGACGTATTGACTTTATCTGTTTCAGGAACAGTTTTGTTAATATTACTCTCTTGTGTTCTTTGTGTATAATCAGTTTTCGATTTCTTTGCGTTGAGATTTTCGGATTCAATCACTCCCTTGTGTGCAATGGGCCTTGAAGTTTTGAAATTAATTTCATCAAAAATTACATCACGAGCTGTAATAATTTTATTTGTCTCAACATTCAGAACTTTATAACCATTTTGTTCATAACCGACGAGTATACCTTTAAATGACTTTTTGTCAAATTTAGTTTTCGTGGTTTTGTCATGAACATATACTGTACAACCAAAAACCCTTAAATATTTTAACTTTGGCTTTTTATTATGCCAAAGTTCATAAAGGGTTTTGTCTTGTACAATGGCTTTAGTAGGCGTTAAATTAAGCAAATAAGTTGCAGTGAGTATTGCTTCGCCCCATAGTTTTTTGCCTAGATCAGCGCCATGAATCATAGCACGGACCTTTTCGGTTAATGACCTATTTAGGCGCTCCGCGAAGGAATTTTGTTGAGGCGTGTATGGTACAGTCAAGTGATATTGAATGCCCTTTTGTACACAGTACGCTTTAAAATCGTTAGATAGATATTCTCTCCCGTTATCGCAATATAAGTGGGCAATTTTTAAATTAAAATGTGTTTCACACTTTGCGACATAATCTTGAAAAACTTTGAAAACATCAGATTTATAAGTTAATAAATAAACCACTGTATAATGAGTAAATTCGTCAAGAAAAGTCACAAAGTAATTTTTATCGTTGATAGTTGAGGGTGTAATAGGACCGCAAACATCTGTGTGGACAGTGTATAAGGGTCGCGTAACGTGATCTCTGTTTCTCTCTTTGGAGAAAGGAATGTGGGCCTGTTTTCCGTATACACAAGCCTCGCATATCTCATCGGTGGGATTTATTTTCGTCAATTTTTGACTGTCAGTTAATAAATTACTTTGTTTAATTTCTAGAAATTTGGATTTTCCAATATGGCCTAAACGTGCATGCCATAGTTTATGTGTTTAGTTCATTATTTATATCAAGATTGACTTGATTGCATGAATTTCCATTTACAATAAAATCGACACATAATAAATTGTTTACTGACTTACCACTCAGAATGGTCTTACCATCTTTCTCGATTGTCACCTGTCCATTTTCGCTGAAAATGACGCTTATACCAGCTTCCTGAATTTTGCGTACGGACAGCAGGTTATATGGAACTTCAGGCGCGTAGAGTACGTTTTCCAAAGTCCCTTTCACTCCCTGCGTTGACATCACGCCGATGCATCCCCTCTTTGTTGCGATGATCGCTTCGTCCTTCTTGGCGACTGAGATTTTTAGAGGCGTTTCCAAGTCGGTCACAGAAGTAAATGCATCTAGTTCGTTAACGATGTGATCGGTTGCCCCTGAATCCAACAAGAAAGTCAATTGATTTGGGAGGTTTCTCGTTGCCAAAAAATTGTCGCCGTCGCTGACAAATGCGAAACTCCGATTGCTATCCTCGAGTTGAATTGTTTGAATCGTCTTTAGGCGTTCTTCGGGATTTTGCATATTTCTTTTGTAAAAATAACAGTTTTGTTTTTCGTGATTTCTTCGACCGCAATGATCACACTTTTTTATTTTATTTTTGTCGTAATGTCCGTTGTGTGAGTTTCCGTTATAAGAGGGTTGATTTTTTAAGTTTTTAATTTCACGTTTTTGGTGATGAAAGGGTTTCTTTTTAGAATTCGGGCAAGGAGATTTCCATTTTCCTTTCGATTCAAAATTTTGCTTCTTATCTTGATTTTGTGTTTCCACATGTAGAACTTTTCCACTCGTTTCCCCACTG